TCGATCCCCGTTGCGTAACGGCAAACAGTAGTCGGGGTGGCAAAACATTCGCAAAACAAAAGATGAACATGCAAAATGATGAAAAAATATCTAACAAGTGTTACTAAAAAACAAGAATATGCAATATATGAAATAAGAATAAGAATACAACGTGGAAATTCAAGACAAACAAAAAGGAGAAAATTCACTCTATCAAAGATGATTATAAGAGGTGCGACTACTCTCAGGATATGATATTATGAAACCCTGATATACATCATATATGACAAAATAGGTCCTGATACCTTCGCTAACACCACAGACCCTTATTTTTTCTCATAATTTTAGTTTCACCATATATGTCATATGACGAGCTTCTCAGGTCCATCCAAACAGAATTCAGATCACTGTACTCTAATAGTAAAAGAATAAAATGGAGAATCCTAAAAGATTCAAGGCGTGTTCGGTAGAAATTAAAATCAGATTAAAATTGAAAAACTTGCCTTTATGGTTGACTTTTATTAGACGAGTGGAATCCAATAACGACTATATTTTCAATTTTAATTTGATTTTGAGTTGTACCAAACAAGCTCTCAAGAAGACGCACCTTGTTGGTTTTGGTTTTTTCAGTATATATCGAAATGGAAATTTGGCTTTTCAATTGTATTTATCAACGATTTGTTATTTCAATGAAGATGTTTTTTTTTCTATTCGAATTACATATTTTAAAGAGAAAAAAACTTTCCGTTCTTGTCCACGAAAAAAGAAGGAACCAAAAAGAGTCAATAATTTGGCAGCTTGGTAATGGGGTTGGTCTTTTTTAGGTAAAAACGAAGGAGAGTGTAGGCTTCCTCATTCATCCCAACATCAAAATGTTTATCACATTGTATTTGAAAGGCACAAAGTGATACGATTAAAGAAATACATCACAATAGTCGATAAAATATAATGTGAACTACAAGACAAAGAAATAAACCCGTCCCTTGGTTGGATTCTTGAAGCTTGCTTAGTTTTGGTCTTGATTTCTCCAAGATTTTCCTCATTTTATGTGATATTTCCTCTCTTTTTGCTTGCTTCTTTTTCTCTCTAGGCTAGCGATTAAAAACGTGGAAAAGGGTAAAAAAAGGTGTAAAGGATTTTTAAAAAGTATTGAAATCGTCTCGGCCAAATTGCAAGAAGAGTCCCTAAATTTTGAAGAACTAAAAAATCGCCCAGCTGGTAGCTGGGACGCCTAGGCGCTGGTGCATTGCTCAGTTTTGGAGCCCAAATTGCGGCGCCTAGGCGCCCCTTCAATTACTTCTTTTTGCAGATTAGGTCCTTCGGGTAATTTCACGTCAAGTCCCTCAAGTTTTATCTTGTACATTGATCCTTAGATTTTGAATTTCTTTTCAATCACGCCCTCCAGAATTTGCAACCAAGGCCCCTAAACTTTCAGATACTGTGCATTGTGGTCCCCAAAGTCATATTTTGTGCACTTTCAATCCTTTTTCTATCCTTTAGCTTTCTTCTCCTCCAATTTGGGATTTTACCCTATAAAAGTCACAATTACATAATTGTGAATAAAAATTCGCTCAATTTCATCAATAAGTAATTCGTTAAAGTACTAATAAGTGGTAATGAGGTTGGTTTTTTGGAGGTCAAAACGAAGGGGAGTGCAGGACAAGTACATGGTGGAGGTCGAGTCCATGAGATTTAACAAGGCATAATAATATCTGCCCTCAGTTTTGGGTAATCAATTGACTGTCCATTTTTTGATTTTCTTTTCTACTCAAAAATAATGAAAAAACGTAGTAACGGTAGAGAGATGAAGAATAGCGCTCTCTTGATAGCTAATATTTACCTCAATGTTGAATGATACTTGAGAATACCCATAAGCTCCATTAAATCTCAAAAATCTAATCGTTTAGGTCATTCCTCGATGTTAATTTAGCAGCAGCAGGGAAAAATGGATCAAATATGCTGTCCGCCCAAAAACCTGTTCTATTAACGCTTTGCAAGAATCCATTTATTATTCATGACTAAGTGCTGATAACCTTGTCTTTTGTTGTATCAGATCAGTTGGGCGATAGCTGATTTTAAAAGCTCATCTGTTGAGCTGCAGAAAGAGACCTCCCTGGAGGATGGAACAGATAGCTTAAAAACAAAAAGGCATCCTTCCGATTTTTCATGTAAATTTGTTTATTATCCTCTTTTTGATGACTGAGATAGGACAAGCTCTATTTTAAGCAGATTGGCAAGTTTCATCCTTGTTTGTTGTGCATGTTATAAGAACGTGCTTGTCTCGTGTGGACACATTCGTGAAATGTCACAATTGTTTAGAACCAATGCCTCGACACAGGATCTTTTCATTTTCTGTTGATGGCATCTAAATTTCAATTAGCTGACACAATTCATTGGTATAATTTCCTTGTGTGGATGGGAAATAGTCTGAGAAGAAGATAACTTCCATGCTGTACTCGCTTTTCTCTCCATTATATCCCAATCTTAATGAAATCAAGTTCACCATGTTCATATTTCAACGGTAATATTAGCATTCGAAATGCCAGGAATTAGTTACAGAAACTTTCAGCCAAGAAGGTTAAGTCAAAGCAAAAGGAAACTAGTCTTTAAACACTTTTAACAGTTTAACTGGAAGGAGAGAAATACTGATTTTTGGAAAAAATGATATAATAACTCTTGTATAAGTTTTGATGAAATACCAATCACCATGACAGCATGGATGAATACAAGCAGATCGAAAAATCTGCTGGTACTACCTCCAAGGATAGTCTTCCCAGCCTACCAACATACACACAAATAAACTCTGTGATCCCATTTGCTTTGCCAGTCAACCACATTCACTCTACATGGAGTAAACAAAGATGAACAGTTCAAATTGGGCAGGTTGGCCTACTATAGGACTCTAGAGAAATTCTCTGTAACAATTTCGTCAAATTAATAAAAGGTTGTTCTTTGTCAAAGGTTGTGCGTTCATACGTTATCTATAATCTATCGGACATGTCCACAGGATGACAGCCTTTGATTCATCCAAAGCTAACACGACTTTTAATGAATGCAGCACCAACATGTATTATCTTCACAAATAGATTTTTCATAACCTACAGAAGTTAACCTACAATACAACATGGCAAATCTTAACAGTTCAAAGTTGAGTGTGATGGCATAATTATAGTAGAAAACACAAGTTCAAATAGAACTAAAATATCCACGGTTATGATTCAGCTGCACGCAGTGATTACTGAAAACTTATGTTGCTTTTAAATAAAAAGAAAATCAAAACGCCCCAGCATATAAACAGAAATGTCAGAAGAGGTGGATAGACTGTTAATCCATATAGAGACAACAGAATGTGAATGGATTCTACAATGCGAAGCAAAGATGCTACTATTCTAGCAGTAGTAGAAATAGAGCTTCATCAATTGACAAACATCTTTAAATGCTTATATAGAGCTTGTTGATCCCCCCTCTTAAGGCAATGATTCGGTATCATAAGGTTATATTTATGATCAATATCCTAGAAGGTGCAATAGATAGACAACAAGCACTTTATAGAATCATGAAATTAAACACGAAGTCCATGTAAAGTCGTAAAATCTAGTTAAAATTTCATTTCAAACACACTATTTCACATTCTAGAGAAAAAATACTGGCTTTAGTCTAATACACAATCACAGAAACACTTTGCATTTGAAATAATAGTAATAAGACATGGCAGTCCTATAATTAGCAGAATCAAAGAACATGAACAGAAACACCAAAACTTAACATTCATGTTCCTGAACACAAACATCTGGCTTCCTCCATCATCCTGGGCAACAGAAACTATAAAGCTTGCCATCACATTACAGTACAAAGCATAAAAATAACATAAATACACCACAATTACACAAACATCTAATGCTTAGCATCAACCGAATTATCATTTATAACTACATTGATCTTTTGGTACTTGAAATCACCTGGCTGCACCGTGCACTTTGCTGGGATTGTTACTATTGTCTCCCGGCTATTTTCAAATATTGCCCACAAGAACATTATAACAACCGCTATCAAGGCTCCAAACCCAATCATCATGATCAAACCAGAAAGAAATCCCAGAACACAGACCCATCCCTTATTCTCTCCTTTCTCCTCACCATGTACATTAGAAAACACCCGAGGATCCACTGGGTGTGAATGCAGCCACTTTGGAACACTTCTTGTTTTAAATTTCCAGGCATACACGTTACTAGTCTGCTTTGAATTACCACTAGATGAACTCAATCCAACGAACACTTCTCCATTTCTCCACATTTCACCCAAATCAATAGGATGCACTAACAGTGGGTTGTAGGGCCTGGCAAGACCAAACTTACTCAACCTAACCTCCAATTGTTTTGAGCTCGAATCATAATCTATCCACGAATGTAGCTTCATCCCACTATTCAAAACCAAATTTAACGACGAAACATTGCTAGTTTTCACAGAAACAAGACTTCCCACGTCGATTCCCACATGATTCGAATTCACATCCCCCAGATTCTCATCAAAAAACGTGTCATACTCCACCGCAAAAAAGGGACTTCCTTTCGAAACCCCAAAACTTTGTTTTGAAAATTTCAGCATAAACTTCCTAGACACGAGTAAAAAAGCCAGCCCATCCCCGTTATGAGGTGAAATTGAGAACGTGAAGTCAGTAGAAAATGATATTGATCTTATGGGCCTTGAATTGGAGCTGAGAATTTTGATGGGTTTTTTCTGAATCACAAATCCAGAGCTTGGAGATGAGTTTTTAGGGTCAGTAAGCTGAATAGAAGAGCTGTTATTTGTAAACTTGGCGTCACCAATCAGAACAAGGTTTGGAACAAAATAGGGTTTGTTAGAGAGTGAAAGTGAGATATGGGGAGTTGAAAACAGGGCAAAGAGGAAAATTGTAGAGGAAATTAGATGATTTATAGGGTAATTGAAAACGGGTATGGGAAATATCACCATTTTCGGGGGTTGATTTTTGATCTGAAGGTTAGGGTTTGTGAATCTATCTTGAAGACACTTCTGGAGAAGTTCAAATGGCTTTTTTATAGGTGAAATGGAGCATCCAAATTGGAAGGATCCAGACCCGGCACTGGCCCTTTAACCATATGTAAATCGGACCACAGAAGACCAATAAACAACTTTGAGATCTAACTCAAAAAACCAACTATTTTCAAAAGTACTTCTTAACTTTTTTAATTACAGAAATACCGTTTTAATCACAAAATTATTATTTACACTTTTGTTCACATTTTTATAAAACGTGAGATGTATTATAAACTTCAGAACTTTCATATTTCTTTTTTAACGTCTTAGAAAGCCATAAAATTTCACTCTTCAACCCACACCTTGGCCGTTGCCATTGTTTCAGAAATCTTTAGGGGCTGTTTTTTTTGTATTTCAGTTTTATATTTTGAGTGTCCATTTTGAGATTGTTGAAAATATATTCTTTTTGACATTTTGAAAAATTGTTTTGAAAACATCCAAAATGACTTTTTTTTGTAAATTTTTAATTTGTTTTCAAAAACACGTTTTCAAAAATAGGAAAGAAAACGCGTTTTTACTATTTTGAAAAATCGAAAACAGAAAATGGTTTGAAAATAGTAAAGAGAACAAACCCTTAATTATTGTTTCTTTTATTTACTTATTAATATAATTATGTACTCACTCAGCTCTAATTGAGGGTTTTTTTGACAAAGTTTTTAATAAAAATTTAATAAAAGTGAGGAAATAAGTAATTGAAAATTTAAAAATTCGTCGATCACATGAAATGTATGGTTCAAATGAATAGTTGATTTTGATCGTAATTTTTTAACAACTTTTTAAGCTATCTCCAAACAAGCACTAAGTATTAATAACTAGGTCGAGTTGAATGGATAAATTTAAAGCAGACATTTAAATAATGCAGATATTAACAATATCCATAGATGCAATTTAAAATTTATGTTATCTCGAATGCAGTGTACTTTCTCGAATAGTGTTTAGAATTAGACTAATGTGTCATGAAGATTCTTGTTGCTGATCGAGAGTCTGAAAAACAATTGATAAATTGACTTTTAGGACATGTTCGTTATGTAGGAATGGATGAGACTATTTAGGCATGATTAGAAAATATTGTATATCAATCAGGTCCTTAGTTAGGGATGGAGTCAGCACTCGATGAGCCGACAAGATCGCCTATGTTGGCATCGTAAAAAAGAATTTACATGTTAATGAAGCCTTTATGTTAAATATGTAAAAATGTACTAACTTCCAGCAAAGTAATTGTGGCTCATATGGTTGGGCTTTAGTTTTGCATGTGAGGCATCCGGTTCGATTCCCAAACAACTCTATATTATTTTGTTTTCGATTCCCCTCACCTCATCTTCTTCTTTTAATTTTTTAACACAATAAATAATAACTAAACAATTCTATATTATTCGTTTTTGTTTCTAAAATAATTTCTTTAAAAAAATTTGTTGACTCAAATTATTATTTTATTATATATAATTTTATTGTTAGATTTTATCAATTTATTTTGTAAATTAGTTTTCGTTTCCAAAATCTTTTTTAAGAAATTTATTTACTCAAATTATTATTTCATAATATATACTTTGAGTATTAGATTTTATCAATTTATTTTGTAAAATTCAAATTTGGACAATCTAAGTATTGATCTTTATTCTTTTAAGAGTTCGAAAAATATTTTTCTTTTTGGATAAAAAATAACTTTAAAAATCACCGTTTTAAAAATTTATTGACTCAAATTATTACTTCATAATATATACTTTTATTGTTAGGTTTTATCAATTTATTTTGTAATTTTTTTTATTCTTTCAAAAGTTCGAAAAATACTTTTCTTTTTAGGGTCAAAAAATTGCTCTAAAATTCAACGTTTTAAAATTTTTGTCTTATCGTTTAATCAATACTTTATATATAAGTTTCATCTTGTCTCGTTTAAGTTCATAAAAAAATGAGATTTGATCATACATATATGATTCAAAAAAATGTATTTTTATTCCTTATTATTTTGGGCTGCATTGAATTATATTTTCATATGTATATTATTTTTATATGTTTTAGTGCATTTGTATATTGATTGTCGATTATTTTAATATAAATTAATTAATTATTAGTAAACAATCTCGCAATATTGGAAGGTTGTACAGGGCCACATGGACACTCTACTTACATGTAACATTTGTCATTTAAGAAAAGAAAATCATAATTAATGAAATATAAATTGGGAGATGAAGTAGAACCGTAATAATTTTGCATGCATTAGGCCTGACCGATGACAGCTTGTGTCTATATTCTATACTAATCTACAATATAGCATCAAATGAGAATTATTTTTTGGATGACTATAACCTTATTACAATTCAATTATTTCAATAATATCTTACTTTTCGTTTTACAATATGTATTTAATTTACAAACTGTAATAAATACTATAATTAATTCTCAATTAATTAACATTAACATTTAATTAATATTAATTAGAATTTTACATTCACATTCACGTCCACTTCTATATCCCTTTTATTAATTCTAAATTATTAATACACAATCAAGAATGTAGTTCATTATTTAAATTTTTAACTTATTTTTTTATAGATCTTAGAGTACTGAACGTTTTTAATATGTTTATTAGTATTATTTAATAGGTTTGATGATGTGGAGTTAATGATGATAAAAGTGGAAAAACAAGGGCTTGAAATCAAAAGTAGGGAAAATAAAGAAAAATGGCAAAATAGTCAATTTATAATACAAAAGAAGAACAAAAGAAACAATCTACGCAAGAATGTGTTGAATAGAGGATTGAAGAGTGGCGCTATGGCTCCAAAGTCTATGCATGCTAATTAACATCCAATTTCACTTCATTGAAAATTAATTTATATTCATTTGATATAAAAGATTTAACATTCATTATCATGTATATATTATTTGGTAAAAATTCTAAATTAATTAACATTCACGTTAATTCATGTATCGTATTTGTCATTCATCTTCATTTATGCATTTAGTTATAATTCTAATATTCACACTCAAATAAAAATTTTACAATTTACATGCATGTATAATAATTAATATTTATTTTTAAAGACTTGCATTTCTCTCATATTTCGATCAAAAGGGTAAATGGAGAGTTAAATATTATTTTCACAACACTTATAAAGTATTTCAAAATAACGTGTGATGCACGTTCAACTCTGACTAGTTATATTAAAATGGAGAATTGATGAGAAATATTTGAATATCAAATTTACCCTTCATATATTTAGCTATATACCTAATATACCCTCATTTTGGTTAATAATAATAATAATAATAATAATAATAATAATAATAATAATAATAATAATAATAATAATAATAATAAATTGAAAGGTTGCATTAATATGTTCGCCTTCACACTAAAATATAAAATACCAATTTTATCGTTATATGTATAGCTATATGCCCAATATACCATTATTTAATTTTAATTTTTTAATAATTAAATAATAAAATTAATTCAATTTATTCAACAAGATTTATTTTTTATTTTTAAGAAAAGAGGATGACACCCGTGAAACTTTATTGATGAACCCTCCCATATGGCAAAGGAATACCATGATACTCAAAATTACAATACAACCAACAATTAAACCTAGCTAGAACCTGAAAGGAGGAGTGCCAACACTATCAAGTCTAATACAACCAAAAGTACGCTTGAAAAAACAACCACTAGAATAAAAAAAAAAAAAGCCGAGGTACTATCAACCTATTCCTTTGCCAAAGTGTCCGCTACTTTATTCGCTTCTCGATAAACATGGGTGACGTTAATATCTATGTAGTCCATATATGTTAGAATATCTTCTGAAAGAGGTTCAATGCACCAAGGAACATTATCCCTTCTCTCAAACCAGTCGCGTACCACTTGAGAATCTATCTCTACACTAACTCGTAATATACTTAGTAAATAACAGTATGTGGGCCCCCAATGAAGGGCCGCTACTTCTGCATACGTGTTAGATTGAATGCCAAAGGATTGACTAAAACAAAACATCACTTTGTCTCTGTAATCACGAAGCCCCTCCACAACCAGAATTGTCAGCACTATCACCATCAATATTAAACTTGTATTGTCCTTTCATTGGTGGAGACCAATGAGTTAGGAATGGAATTCTAGTCCGAATTTGAATAATCTCCAAACCATGTTTAGTTAGAGAATCTTTAAATTACACATGCATACTTCGAATATGTTTAATGATGAGATTAAACTCACCATGCCATCTCATCACCTATTAACAAATCTAAGAAACATTACGCTATACCTCATTATATCTGGCATCATTTCTGGATAGCCAAAGTTCCCATGTAATCAAATTAGGTACAACTATAGCAAGGAGATGAAATTAAGAAATTTCATGAATCTGAGTATCCCAAGATAAGATAATCGATTTCCAACATATCACTATAAAATAAAAGAGGCAAAACTTGGCACGCCACGTGTCACGATTTCCTATCGTCATCATAATTCAATTTTTTTTTCACGGAACATTTCTCCTTTCTCACGGCTACACCATCCCAACATTTCTTCACCCTCTTTTTCTTTTCCCAAATTCCGCGCCCAACGCCCTTTAATTCCTCCAACCATCGTCAAGATTTGAAGGAGGGAGCAGACTGTCCTTTCCCAAATTTCACGCCCAACACCCTTGAAACCCAAGCAATACTACCACTCATTCGCTCTATATTCTTGAAGGTTTGATTTCTTCCCTTCTACCCAGTTCTCTTTCACTGTGTACATAGGCATTCATTTATATTAATTATTTCAATTACATGTTGTTTTGTATACTGGATGCTATGAGGAGGGAACAAACATGATTAAATTTGGATTTCTATTATATTATTCATATACTTTTTGTTTATCTCACTCTTAATTTTCTTATGGATATTTTAATTCTTTTTGGAGTTTTTTCTTTATTTTTTCTGATAAG